ATCCAATCTTGTGTGATTGGGTATAAAGTGTCTTGATTTTATTTGTTTATTATGTGATCAGAGGATTATAAAGGGACTGGGATTATATTGTGGGTTTCACGTTTGGTTGAGACCGTCCTAGTCGACCGACGTTCGTTCGTACCGAGGAGATCAACGCCCTCGGGAACGGACAACGTTCGGGTCCACTTGGCGTTAACCAAGCGTACCTATACTCCAGCGAGCGAGCAAACGCCCTCGGCTGACCTACCTCTGCAATTGCATGTAAAAACCTTCGCACGTGGGTCAGTAGCTCGGTAGGGATACGCCCCTAAGGGTGGTGACAACCCCTTAGGGAAGGTAAGATATGCCCTGCGAGAACTTATCCTGTCGTAGGGGACCGTGGGATGTATAGCTGGCGCACCCGGCTAGAGCGGCCAAGGGACGATGCAATCGCATTCGTCTTAGAGGTTCGCGGGATTAATTATGCGCCGTTCCCAAGTTGTCTATTGATTTTGTTTTGTTTTAACTCCTGCGTCACATAGCCGGGAGGGCCCTCGCTCACGCGGGGGCCGATGCGCTCGACACCGTCTCCATACTTTTCTCAATCTTCTTGGATGATGGGTTGTTTTGCGGATGATTCTTGATCAGGGGCATTGCTTGAGGTGTTGCATGCCTCTCGCTCTAGGAAGTGGTATGGGGTACTCGTCCTCCTTGCCCGAGCACAAGACTCGGATCTCGGAAGTCGGACCGTCTTCACCGAATCGGCAAAGTACCCCCCCGTAGAACGGTCCACTCTGGGTCGATAACAGGGTCGGCTCCTAAAGCAACGAACCCCCCCCAGATGCTTCCTTGAAAGAGAGAAAGCGTCCACCGCGATTAAATTTTCATCCTCCCCTGCCTATGGTAATTTAGACGAAAAAGAGTCAGAGGTGATGGAGAATGAGAATCATTTGGACAGGTAAAGGTAGATAAAGTCATTTAGGATAGAAAGGGTCAATCCTTGGGAAAGGCTAAGCCCATCTGACCTTATCTGTCATATTTCAATCAAATTAATTCTACGGTACACACAAAATTACCATTTTTCAAAACAACGAATCATTTTTGGCATGCAGGCAGGTGAGAAGTAAAAGGAAGATCATAATTTTCCCTTTTCTCAATTAGGCATAATCAATCTCCTTTGCAAGCATCCTTCTACCTACCTATACAACATACAAACAACACAATCAAAAGAAGACGAGCAAGGTCCCACGACTAACGTCAGACCCACCTTTTTACTCATGCGTGACGCCCACAATCCCACTCAACCTTTTCTCCTGAACATTCAAAGCAAAATGGTCAAGCAATGTGTGGGTGCACACAGGTGTGAAGGGAGTCTGAGTCGTCCATTGACTGACCACTGACCTTGAGTGAAGTTGAACGACACACTCAAGAAGACCGTATAGAATTACGCCCCTTCTGACATGAAGGTAGTCGCCCCCAGTCGTCAACAAAGTGATCTACACCACTCCTTAAAACGATTGCTTGTCGCGACACTCATCCAATAACTATTTCCTCACAGTCCGACAGCGCCTTCACGTTACCGTCACTCGCCTTCTGAGCCCCTGTGTTACTGCGGTGCCATGCTCACGCTACTTCAAAATATACTACCACTTCAGTAGCACCTTCCCTGCACCAAGGTCCAATCGCCGCCCAGTGCAAAAATACTGCTGACACCGCCGTAAAACCAATGTCGTTGCTAGAAAAATTCAGCCGGGGGAAAGCAACCGGACTGTTGCTACCCAGTCGCTCCATTGAGGAGAAAAATACTGCGGATCATTGAGTCTCTTATGTATTCCTTATTGCCCTGCCGAGGGAAAGGAACCGGACTGTTGCTACCCAATCGTTCCATTACGCACTCGATTACTCATTCACTTGCTCACTTGATTACTGCGGTTATTTCACAACTCGATTTGTCACTCCGTTACTTACCCGATTACTTGGTCAATTACTCACCTGATTACTTCCCTGGTTGTTCAGGGGATAGCTCAGGCGATTACGTGTTCAATTACTCACTTGATTAATCAGTTAAGTACTTGATTACCTCATTTTCTCAGTTGATCCATATCTTGATTTTAAAGGGAGGGAGTGGGAGAAGGGAGGAAGGGAACGGGGAAGTAGAATGGAGAGAGGATCATCAGCCGCTGCCTCTGCTTGTAGCGATCAAGGAGAAGAGGTTCTCCTCGTCTACTAAGGAGAAAGATTAAACCACCAGTATCCCGCCCTGATAAAAAAAAAGTCAACTCAGTCCAGGGTCCCATTCTTTTGGTCCAAAGGCCAAATTCAGGGGCCAAAAGTCACATCTGCTGACTCCAGAAATTCCACTTGTCAGCAGGCACTGGGTCAAACGTCAAAAGAGGCCCTAAGGTGCCATTTCCCAGCAGCTGTTGACTCTTGGATTCCAAGAGTCAGGCCCACCGGGCACAACAAGTGTAGCGTCTTAGATTTTCCAGGAGTCAACCACGGCCATAGATCAGATGCACATCAACGGCTGTCTGCGGAGTTCTAGAAGTTTCCACAGTCATTGGGTCCAGGCACACAGTGGCTGACAGCAAATCTACATCGAAGTTTGGGAAATATCAGTTGTTCGAGGAGGCAACCTGAGGCAGGCCAGGCCAAGTCAACTGTATAAATCTGGGCTACCCCAGCTCATGAATCCATTCTTGCCTCATGCTGCTGGATGCTGGAGTGCTGCTCCAGGATAGCGCTGGAGGAGGCAAAGATGCTGGCGAGAGAAGGAGAGAGAGTGAGCGCCAGCCATTGAAGCCATAGCTAGAGTAGGGGCGCCAGCACCATAGCTAAGTATAGAGAGGTGTTGAGGGTGATTTGAAACGGTTTTCACCTTTGCAATAGCAGATGCAGATCCCAGGTCTCGATCCCTAGTCCTTACCCTACCGTGTACAGTACCTGTGTAGACCCCGAGAGTTGAACCCATGACCTGTGTACTCGTAGTCAGCTGGTAGGCCGTCATAGGTCCGTAGGTTGTAGGGGTTCGATCTGTAGGTCTGTCGAATAGAAGTCTTAGTGAGTTCCAGAAGTCTTAGCTGTAGTCCTTCTAGAAGGTCGAGCAAGTGGGCAAGTGGGCAAGTGGTGGACCAATTGCAGTACGTTCGCAGTACGATTGCGGTCAGATAGCAGTGCGTCCCTATGTAGTCAGCGGTGCAGTCCAGTCAGTCCCAGTCCGGTCCAGCAAGTACCATGAGGGACTGTGTGCACCATGGGCCGATGGAAAGGGGCAGACCAACGAGCTTCTGAAGTATAAATCAAGAGGCAGCGCTCAGCCATTCATTCATTCCTGCGTGAGCCATGTGGAAGTGCTGCCACAACGACTTGTGCAAGGAGGTCTGCAGTGAGCCCGGAGCCGAAGTGGGCGAGAGAGAAGGAGCGTAGCATAGCGATAGGGTAGTAGCGGCCAAAACCGCCATAGCTAGAGTTAGTGTGTAGCGTGTGTGTGTGTGTGAGTGTAGAGTAACGCGTGTGGGATATCCAGGGTGATCCGGGGTATGCAAACAGAGAGTTGTTTGGGCGCTGGGTTGCCATAGCCATCGAAAGTGAAATTGTATCTGGACTGTGTCTTCGGCGACCATATCTCCGAGTTCTGTGCGGGTGCTTGTCGCCAATTTGCTGTGCGCCTGTTTGCATGCATGTGAGTGTGAAAGAAAGCGAGTCTGATTGCATTGGTATCGGAGCTGGCACCCGCTATTCCATGCGCGCCGTCGTGTGCAGGGGGTGAGGCGCCATAGCTGAGGTGGCCGCCACGAGAAGTCCGCCATAGCGGACCAGAGGTTGGAGAAGCCGCCGCGCACCTGCAAAAGAGACCACGACGAAGAAGAAGACCGAGAGAGAGAGGGAGAGAGAGAGAGGAGAGAGGAAGGTTGAACGATACAAGATTGGGTTACTACGTACCTGCTGCGCTGGAGA